TATATATATATATATATTTATATTATGTTATGAAGGAACACCATCATGGCCACCGTTGTAGTTATTTTATTGAGGCATTGCATTGAAAGAGTTGGTAATGATTAAGAAAATAACGAGTATAAAAATGCGGTCTAAACAAGATACTTCATAGAACTTTATCCTCTAATTATTGGTCATGAATTCCTCTTTGAATTAATTATGGGAGTAATTATATAGGCGAATTGATTGAGTCAAAAAGTTAGAATGTGGATAGTCATTGGCTAGTTGTTTGGAAGATTTTGTTCACACTATATTTCTCTTATACTAACTAGAGAACTTGTTAGTCAATATAGAAAAATAGGCAATCATTAGTGGCATTGTTGGAGTTTAAGATTAATCAGTATGAGATCGGCGACTGATCGTCAACATGAATCTGATAGTTTAACCACCAATTATAGCCACCAAATATTGTTATTGGTGCCAACAAACTAGTCACCAAAAATTTCACCAGATATAAGTCACTAGATTTCTGGCAACTAAGCTAAGAAATGCCTACTAATGATAAATATTGTCTCACTAATTTCTCTTTTAGATCACTGTAATATTGTATAGATTTTAGAAATTTTATATTAAATATTTGGTTTTTTTAGCAGCAAATATAGAAAAAAATATACTATTTTAGGTTGAGCCAAAACCTCTAAGGAGTGGCGAAAGTTGAACAATTTGTCACTTTTGAATTCTAACCAATTTAAAATTTCAATCAATTTAATTATAACTTCGATCAATTTAATTAAAATTTCATGTCAATATTACATTTTATATTAAACTAGTTTTACTATGTAAAGTCTAGGAAACTTAGTGAAATGACAAATATTTTGTTTTTGGCTTGCAATTTATATTATATATTTTCATAATTAATCAAACAATCAGTAAAGTCAGTCAATAGTTCATAATAAGACTAAAATTCTAGTATTTATATGATAGATGAATATTCAAAATCTATGATTACGAACTTATGATAAACTATTAACAAGAGGTCTATGCTTATGTCAAGAGTAGAGATTTCTAATCTCTTTCTCTTCGCACTTTGTTTTTCATGATTTTCTTTCTAAGGATTATATCTATCAATATAAATACGGGGCATTTGTATTTTTCTCATAAATTATATGCACTTTTTCATTACGATAAATTTATATGCACTCATATAATTATATTTTGTTACCTTGAGCTCTTTACTAAGTTGATGAAACAATTTCTCATACATATAATGAGAACTCATTGTCAAAGCAAATTTATTAGTTTTGGACAGAAATTTGATTTGGCATTGTTGTCCATGTGACGTGTGGCTTTTTTGTTTAATATGGGGGATGGAATTTGATTTGATGATGCTGCCTATGTGACTTGTGCCTTGTTTTCTTTAGTATTGTTGTTCATTTGGCTTATGGCTTATTTTGCTTAAGATGGGAGCTCAAATTTGGTTTGTTGTTGTTGTTGTTGTTCATATGACCCTCAACTTAATTGGTGTTAAATTTGATTTGGAGTTGTTATCTATAAGGCACGTTGCTTATTTTTGTTACAATGGGGATAAAAATTTAATTTTGTGCTATTTTCCATGTAATGGTGACTTTTTTTGCTTATTTTGTGGGTAAAAATTTGATTTTGGTATTGTTGTCCATGTGACCATTAGGCTTGTTTTGTTTACTATGGGTTTGATTTAGCTTAAAACATGGCTTATTTTTGTGGTTGATGTCTTTCTAGGATTTCATTTTTAGTTATGTTCTTCAGGTTGTGATGGTAGACATGTTGACTGACGAACAATTGTTAGCTTTTGATGGCCTTTATATGTTTTTTTTTTTTTTTCCTTTTATTTCATCCTCAAATTCATTAATCATCCCAATTTTTTTAGGTTACTAATATGCCTAGCACAATAACAAATTATGGTAGTAATTTTACTAATTTATATAAATAATTTTTTGTCAGGTCTTAAATTTCACATCTTTTCTAAGTGTCGTGCTGTCTCGATCTATATTACACTTATTCTCGAGCATGCTCATTATAATTCTTCAACCAGAACAAACTATTTGAGCCATCTTGCGGTTTCATTTTGAGCCGGTCCGAACTCAAATCAATTTTAATTCGAGCTAACTCGAAATTAAAAACAATGAATCACGAGCCGGTTTTGAGCTAACAGCCATATTTGTGAAAGGTCATGTGTGAAATTTTCTTTTATCACTTGAAGGTCAATGAAGTGAGTCAGCACTATTTGAGTAGCTAGACAACACATGTTGAGTTGAGCAAAGAATTTTCAAGGTCTTAGACAAATAAAATAAATCAAAGCCGTGGTTTATTTAGATTTCTTAATGGGGAAGAAGAGGGTAACGATACAGAAATTTCTTAGAATATATTGGTCGGTATGCTGAGTGAAGTCCTTTCAAAGGTGACGCGTAGGGCTGTCAAAATGGCTCGTTGTTCTCGAACAACTCGTGTTCGACTCGTTGAGAAGCTCGTGTTCGGCTCATTAATTTTGTTCGATAAGTTAACGAGCCGAACACGAACTAAGATATGTTCGTACGTGTTCGGCTCGTTTTGGCTCAAAATATTACTCATCAAGTATATATATATATATATATATATATAAAAGATTTATAACCAATTAAAATATTGATTAAGAAAATAGAAAAAAAATTTATTAAATTAGA